ACTTGCACCTGTTTGGGGACTTCAGACCAGTAGAGTGAAATGGACTGCAACAGCAGTGCAAACAGCACTGATATATATGTGTGTGTCTTCAGTGAGAGCCAGCCACCACCAGCATCACAGCAATGTGTTGGATGAAAATCACAGTGTGTATATTTGACTACCAAGAGACGGCCCCGAGAAGCTAACTGCAACCTCCTAAAGCTTCCCAAGCTCCCCATGGCTCTTCTTCCATAGAGGAATAGGCTTGAGAATGAGGAATCCAACAGTATGTGCTAACACCCAAAGCATTAAGGATACAAAACCTTTTCCAAAGGCCACTATGGATGAAGCGTAGCTGTCCACCTCGGTTCAGTCCCTGGCTAGATGCATTGCTTTCACAAAGCCTTTCCCTAGCCTTCCCCATGCTGCCTCGTCTGCCAAGCTGGAGCTTGTTCTTCCTCTGCCCCCCCTGCACAAGAATAGACTAAAGGAAGATCCCTCAACATACCAATCCCTCAAATGGCCTGTTATGGGGTGAAGGTATCTTGTTCCAGGGGCACTTCCCTGCAGGGCTGCTCCCCTGCTGACTGCCCCGTTCCCAGGACCAGCGAGGCTTGGTGCTGTTGGTGCCCTACCACAGACTGGGCTGATCCTTCCTCCAGCCGTACATATGACTCTCAACCGTGGGGCTGGGACACAGCAGAAAAGGCATGTGGAGTTGTGTATACTTTGGTGATGCTGTGGTATGAAGGAAGATCTTTTGGTTTTATCTGCTCGGGGGTGAGAAGCCTGCTCAAGGATTAAACAGATCCAGGGGTGGGGGGGGTGTGTGGGGGAGATATTTTCTGCACAGAGCACAGGATAGCACTAGCCAGCATGGTCTGAGCTGCGATGGATCAGAGCTGTGTTTCTTCTGGGCTTGCCATGCGCCTCATCCACTGTCATGGTGAGGCCACATGCTGGATCTCAGGTGACCAAAGGATATCAGGTCCTTGCTAGAAGGACCTTTGGTACCTGCTGCAGGGGCAGGTGGAACTGAGACTGTCTGCAGGCACCATGTGGACTAGAAAAGCCAATGTTGGGAGTCTGCAGAGAACAGAGGTGGTCTGGGAATTTGTCTGGTGCATCTTGTGGACCAAGAGTTTCTGTTCGCCAGTCAGAGCTGGAGGGAGAGGCAAGCATGGGAAAGCTGCTGAGATGCCCTCCAGGTACAAGCCCCTGTGCTGGGAGCACAAGGCCTGGCTTCCCCATGCCAGTCTGATGCAAAGTCCAGGTCAGTGGTTGAATTTCATGTCTTGGAGTCCTGGCACTGAACTGAAGCAACTGTGATGGTGGGTGGAGGGTCTGGGCAGCGCAGCAGGCTTACCATTGCTGGACCTGACCAGGAGCTGCCTCCTCTGCATCTCTTCCCTCTGTTGGCCGCTTGCTTTACAGGTGCCGATGGCATGGACCTGGCCATGCTGCACCCCACAAGCCATGCGTTCCCACATCCTCCATTGTGTCTTCGTTTGTTTGTTTTTATAAATACTATTTGGGAATAAAGTCTAGTGGTTCTTTTCCACATCAGCCCTGGCTGCTGTGTTTCGTCATCCTGGGTCTGCTGAGTGGTGCTCCTGAAATGCCACGTTTCCAAGTGTAGGCACTAAACACAACTAAATGAACAGCTTCACGCTCTATCAGCATAGCTGGCATAATAAACCTTTAGTTAAAAGTAATTTACAGAAGAGTATTACCTATGAGAGAGTGGTTTTGAGTCCATTGCCCCCCTGTGCCCTTGGGTAGTGGCAGGGTCAGGTGGTGTCCTAAAATCACCCCTTCACTTCAGTTGGGTGAGCACAAGGTGAGCAGCAGCGCAGGCATAGTACAAAGGCTGTTGGATTCATCTTTTCCACCCCAGCAGCCCATAAGCCAAAAGGACCAAACCACAGTGACATGACTTGCCTTCCCCAGCTGCAGCTTGTTTTATGCTGACTCATACATGGCACTAGTTACTCTTCAGATGCAACCCTCTCACAAGGACACCTCGGAAAATCAGAGGAAGCTGTTCGCTGTGCCGGGACCACTGGGTCTGCTGCATCCAAACACAAATCATAGAGCAGTGCTGAAGCGCAGTTCTTTGAGCTCCTCACATGATAGTTGTCGGTGTTAAGTAGGAAGGCCTTTCCTTCCAAAGTCCAGTTTCTTTAAGTCAATCAGCTTTCAGATTTACAGCTGTGAAATCTCTGGACACTTGCACATGGCCAAAGTGCTGTGTTCCTCCCTGGAAAGAGCCTCTATGCAGCCCTTGGAGGCTGGCAGTAACCCCATAACCCCCAAACCATAGGTGGTTTGGACTGCTGGGTCTTCCCATGTCCCAGACAATGCAGGAGGGTATCGCTGGAGGCAGCCCTGATCTGGCCAGGAGGCTAGCCTGGGTGGGACCCGAGAGGACTAGTTTGGTCTCACTTTTGCTTTCAGCTGGCTATGCGTCAACAAGCCATCAGAGATGCTTCCAGCCTCTTATCCAGGCTCCCTGATATGGCAGAAACAAGGTCCTCTCCCCACACCCCATAGCTTGGCCCACCCTGCTCCTCTGGTGACTTCCCAGCCTCACTTGTCCCTAGAGAAACTCCAGGGACATTGTAATTTCTAGGCTTCAGGGTTGGCCCTTTCCAGATCCACTAATGATAGGAAGAGGGTTTTCAAACACAAAATGCAAACCTGATCCATGAGCTTTCCAGGACACAGAGAAAAAGCCCTGAGATGAGCAGTGGCCAGGATCAGTCACAGATTGACTGGGGCTATTCTGCTTTTCTTCTTGGGACCCTTGGCAAGAGGATGGAAAGCAAGAAGGACTGGATGGTATCCTGACAGTTTGGGGAGCATATTCTTTTAGGACATCTCAAGTCCGTTCCCTGCCTCTTCCCCCACTGGTCAGGTGTGAGAGCTGATGGAGGACTGGGAACTCTTCTGTTGAGGAGAGGTGGGAGCTCTGGGCTGGTAGTATGTATATGTATCTAGGGACCTGGATCCTGACCGTAGTGATTCAATTCTTCCTGGCTGGAGTCAGTGCAAGCCCTCTCTGTGACTGCTGCAGGCATGGTGCTTGGGATGGACCATCAAGCCCAAGGACCCTCTTCCCTCACATGCCTGTATCAGCACAGGGAGCATTTTCCTGCCTTACGGTGGCTGGGGCTCAGGCTGGAGGGGATGTGGTGCCAGCCCATGACTCACTGCGCCAGCTTAGGGGATGCAGGAGAATTTCACTCTGCAGCCAGGTCCAAACCACCTCACCTAGCACTGGTGATGGCTTGTCATACCTGAATATTTCCTCTGTGGAGTCAGGTGGCGGTCTGGGAATATCGACTAGATGGGCTTGAGTAAAGTGTTCTTGGTGTGCTCTTAATCCCTCTAACATTAGTGTCGTTCACAACGAAATTTAAATGTTGAAGGTTTCTGTGTAGCAAGAGGGGAGCAGAGAAAGGGGCTTCAGCACTTTTAGCTAGGTTAAAGCCGAGGATGCCAGCACTAGCTCATGCGTCTCTGCAGAGGAGTCTGTGGTTCTGCAGAGCTGTCTGTGGCAGCACCTTGGGCCTCTCTGAGAAGCTACTCGTGGACAACAGCATGAGTGGCTGATTGGTTGAGACACAGCTGGATGCTGTGGGACCTTGCTCCTGCTCCTGCTGAGGGCACGTCAATCTAACTGGGAGTAGGAGAAAAACAAAACAGAGCTCCTGGAGATGGGGAAGTGGTACTATGGGAATTTCAGTGTGTGCTTCTCTGGTCAGACATGTACTTTCTCATGTACCTGAAAAGGAGAAGTGAGCAGAAGCAGGACCTAATGAATAGGGAGATGCATAACCTCAGGTTTATTTCTTAGTATATCGTTGACCTGCTGTGGTGTTCTGGGTGAGTGGCCTCTTCACTTTTCTCACCCACACACAAGCTTTGGATTCAGTGTTGTAGGGCTGGAGCTGCCCTTGCTACACATCTCTGCAATAAGTAGTGTGATAAACCTGGGACCGTTAGGAACGTAACACAAATAAATACTCTGCTTCCACAGACTCTGGTCTGTCCCTCCAGTGAGGAGTTAGCCCTAAGGTCTCCTCCCCTGCATCAGCTGTGGGGAGGAGTCCGGGAGCAGGAGTCCAGGAAGAAGAGACCCTTTAACCAGTTCTTCTAATAGTCAAATAAAACATCACATGAACTGGATGAACTACCTCCATCCGCCATCAGATAGCCCATCTTCAAATGCTACTGGAAACAAGGTGAAATGGAAGACACTGGCACCTGCTGGCAATTTACATGATGTCCACTTGTGCAAGGCTTGACTTGGGACTACTGTAGTGTCTTGGTACCACTCATGTTGCTGGACAGACTGTTTTGTATCCAGCTCTTGGTCCACAGCGGCTAAAGAATGAGATGTAGGAACGTGCCCTGGAGGAGTGGCTGAAGCTGGCTCTGGGCCCAGCTGCAGCTGTGGTGTTGTGGCAAGTGCTGGGCAATGCTACTGTGGTTCCAGGAGCTGAGGTGACACTTGAGGTCCTGGAGCACCTGTTGTGTGCAGTTGGGAGGGAGGTGGCAGTGCTGGCAGCCCTGTGCTGGAACCTCAGTCCTTTTCCATGCTGGTCTACATTGTGGCTCCATCACAGCCTGCAGGGAGAGAGGGTGGTCAGGAATTCAGTGCCTTTCAGATGGCTCTTAGGTCCAACAGAAAAAGAGGCTGCAAGAACACTGGAGGCTTCATATACATGGATTGGATGGAAAATTACCAGTAACTACCATTTGGGTAATAATATCTGAGAGCTTTACTGAGATGCAGTAGCCTCACCATCACTTGGTCTTTAAATCAAGGTAACGCACTTTTCAGAAAAAGATGCTCAGGCTCAGTCAGCATCTGTGGGGCTGCTGGAGATAGTCCAGGATGAGAGTCTGGTGCTTACAGGAGCTCAAACCAGCACCAATCTCTTCTGGTCTCTAAAAGTCTGCTCTAGGCTGAAGGCACAACCTGTAATATCCTTCCTGGTCCAATTCTGCCCTTAAACAACATTATATTTGTTTTGTGTCTTCTCTTGGCTGTTGGTGGCACCTGTTGGTGCTAGTCAGACACCCTCTTGCCGTGTTAAACTGGCCTGAATTTCATTTCCGTTCGCTTATGGGAGTAATGGTATTCTTTGCCTGTCTTCCAGTTTATGCCATCAGCATAGCTCCCATGAACACCCAGCCAGTACATCCCATTCAGGTTGGAGTAATGGCAGTCATTGTACCACCACGCTCCCTTGTATTCTGTGGCACAGTTAAAGGAGCTCATGTCGTTGTCCTGGTCTGTTGTTGAAAATGGCATGTCCTTGTGGTATGATAAGGAGTCTCCTGCAGAGAGCACACGTTCATAGTTACTGCCACAGAGAGTGCAAAAGGGAACCTGATGTGTCTGTGCACCACTGCAGGGCAGCAGTGGGCCTTGCTGGATGCAAGGCAGATTTTATAAATCCTGCTGTTCTCTTGGTTGCCCAGGTTTCCTCCTTGGTCCTGGAGATAAGGAGTATCCTGAGCTCTGCCAGGACTGCTAAAACACATGGAGAACTTATCTATGCCTGTGAATCAAATGGGCCAGATTCTGCTTGCAGTTACATGGGTGTCACTTCTCTTGCACCACTCAGATTCTCTGCAGGCATACTGAGGTCTGGACTATCAGACAGAGTTGCAGTGTACAAAGCCACATAAACCCAGAGCACTGCTATCTCAGGTATTGGTTTCACTCATTCCTGCAAGAGGGGTATTGAATTTTGCAGAGGATTTGTTTGCTTTTTAAAGAAAAACAAAACATCAGGCATTAAGAAGATGTAGTGCTGATGCTGCAAGTATTGAACAGCACCCCAGCCCTGGAAATGCCAAACCTCACAGGCAAGTATTTCCTTCCAATGTAATCGAAAGCAGAACTTGGCCCAGCTGCTGCAGAGCTGTCGGGAAGGTTACATTGGATGAGGTGCTGCTCAGGACCAGGCTCCACATTTGCTGGTAAACCATGTGGCTGGGCTTGTAGGTAATGCTCTGGGTCACACTCTGTAGGTGATGGGTGTCCCTGTCCTTCCCTGCATCCAGAGGTCACTCGGCACCTGGGGTACCATGGCCAGTTTTAAAGAAATTGACCCAAAATGTAGATGGTACAAGGAGTTTGCATGTTACAGCTCTGCACTATAAATGCTGAATACTTCTGAAATGCTCTAGAAAACAGCCTTTCCCAGTAAGCTGTTGCTAACTTACCGGCGTTTCCACCAAGGAAGTCTCCTAGAACCAGTTTGTATTTCTCAGACTCTCCTAAAACTCTGAACGAAGCGTACTTGGCAAAATAGTAGTTGTTTTCAAAGTCTCTCAGGTCTGAGAGAGAGGTTGTAGCTCTGCTTTGGCTTTAGCTCATGGAGACAGATGGGTCAACTGAAGCTTGTTTGATTTCTTTCTTTCTTTTTTTTAAATGATTAAGTTAATCTGAGCATTATCACACGTGTACTCTGCATCTACTGAACCTGCCACTGCAAGCGTGGTGGTATAAATGCCTTTGAAGTAGCAGCATGTCTATAGAGGTGTTTCTAGTGGTTTCATCCTGGAAACCAGGACACTGAGGCTCTCAAAAACTAAGACAGACCTCCTCCAGGACACACAGAGGGCAGGTGACTTGAGTAGTGGTCAGAGGGCATGACTTTCCTGGCTGGATTACAGATTAGACAGATTACAGAGTAGACACACCGAAGCTGCATGTGGCTGTGAGAAGAAAATGGGTTAACAGTGATATTTCCTTACTCTGTCCTTCAGTGTCACTCTGAATTTGTTTTTATTGTTGCCCTGTCCTGACTTCTGGTACAGGGAGTCCTCCACCGTCTGCTCTGCAAAGCCAATGGTGGCATGAAGGACCTAGGATGAAACTCACCCCATGTTTCTGGAAATCCAGGCTTTCCTTTTGTTCCTGTTGGGCAAACACCATTAATTGCTCTTCACCTTCCACACCCTGTCCTTCCCTCCTCCAGCACTTGGCATCATTTGCCAAGACAAATCCCGCTGCACTGCTTGTGCAGCTGGCTGTGATATTAGAAGTGTTTAGCTCATCTGCACACACAACAGAGGCACAGAAAAACCAGGCAGGAGGACTAACTCAATATATATTCTGCCCTGGCCACTCCCAGGCCCACCAGAGGAGACCCACCAGCCCATCAAAAGCCCATCTGCACAGACCCAGGAGAGCACAGAGGGACAATGGCAGGTGGGAACCCAAGTCACAGACTCCTGTGATTACAGCGGTGACACCCAGCACCCTCAGTCACTGGCAGTAGCTCTCCAGGCTGCCTAGCAGGCACACGGGGTGGCTGCCAGGGAGGTGGGACGCGTTATAGGTGCACAAGGAGCAGCAGCCTTGCCTCTCTTGGGCTGTTGGACCCGGCATGATATATTTTCCCCTGACATCTGATTTGGGACTGGGAGGGTCAAATGGCAAGACTGACACAAGACGTGTCTCCGTTGGACCTGGCTGCTCTGCCTGCTGCTGGCCAGCCCATGGAGTTGGGTACTAACATTTTGTGCCAGTCAGCCCCATTGGGCTGGAACGTGTGGGACAGGAGCAGGTGGGTGTGGGGAGGAGAGGGAAATGCACTCACGGGAAGGCAGGGTCAAAAGCCCAGAGAGGGGAATTGTTGCTGCTGGCAGAGGGCTTTAGTAAGTGGTTTGGGAGCTGGAGCAAAGGTGCTGAACTAGCCACCAGACCAGCAGCGCTTGGCCCCCAACTATTACAAGCCAAGCTCCAAGTGAGGGAAGCCGCAGTGCAGACAGTGCTCAGCGACAGGTGCCAGTGGCCCTCACATGCAGGATGATGGCATCAGGGAAAAAAACCAAACAAAACCTTGTTTTCCCTCTACCCTACTGCTAGTGCTGGTAGAAAGACATGTTCCTCTGGCACTAGCAGTGACTGAGTTTCATCCAAGTCGGATGTCTGCCCAAATCTGGCTGGTCCCTCAGGCTGGGGGTGTGTGAAGCCCTGCGGTTTCTGTAGCTGATCGTACTGGGCAGCAGCATCAGGTGCCCAAGCTGAGGGCAGCCCCTGTTGCTGAACAGCTGGTTTGGGAGAGGAGCCGCTCACACCACCTGGACCAGGGCTGCGCCTATGACAGGGCACAACTGTCACCAAACAGCCCCATCCAGTACCTGGTGGGGTACTTTTATTTCGCTATAGTTGCTCCCACCTGGTGTGTTGTTCCAGAGCAGCACAGGGTGGAAGTTTAACTAAACCAGCTCATGTGATAAATTCAGTGCAGCATGATTTACCTTTCAGTCCTGGGAAGCCAGGCTCTCCAGCTGCTCCTGCAAGAGACAAAAGGAAAATGCTCATCACAGATGATTCAATGAGAGTGAATTACTGTGGGTCCACAAGTGGCTGCTCCAGCCCCTCCATACACCCCAAATGTACAGGAGAGGCTGTCAAGTGGTGCAAAGCCACGGTGCTCTGCTGAGTGTCCCAGCTGGTGCCGCCACCCTGGCCTTGCTGCTCTCTTGATCAGCAGCATCTCTCAGGAACAGCAGGAAGAGCAGGACACAGGGGAGACAGAACTGCTGCTCCGTCTGCTGGAGTGTATGGGGGATTCACAGCTTCATCTCAGTGACTTTTTGTGGGGGCTTTCTGTTTTCAGTCAGGCACCTGTGAAATTTTGGGCAATAGCTACATTTTCAGTGGGTTCATCCATCTCCTGCAGCAGTTTCAACTGAAGTCTTGGGTGCTTTTGGCCAGGAAATAGCTACATATTCAGCATGCAAAGGGGCTGTTTTCCCAGCTAGTCAGTGCACCGGTGCTCAAGTCCCGGGTGCCACCTTGTGCTGGGAACTGGTTACTTTAGAAAAGACTCATTTCCAATGTCTACAGCACACAG